ATATTTTTCAAGCTTAGAGCCCCATGCAGAATATTTTTGCATAATTCAGGATTTGAAGTTAGATTCCTCTTTCCAGCCTATCTCTGTTGAGGAATGGCAAAAGATGGTAATAATAATAATATTTATTTATTTGACCAGTCATATAACCATTTCAAAATAGAACACGAGTAAAAAACAAGGGAAAAAGGTGAGGACAGCAGCTGACCTTCTATTTATAGTCAGAATCTTATTTTCCTGGTTCTTCTTTCAGGAAATCTGCTCTTGAAAAGATGGTATAAAAGAGTGCTCCAAGATTAAAAGCCCGACCCTTTAAGAGAAGTGCAAGGAATCTGACTAATTTCCAGGGTACATATCATCTACCAATGAAACTGCCTTCTTGTTTGGAGTTATCATTACTTTATTGGCCATCACCCATCCTATCACTGCATCTATCTACTGATCCTTTATAATATAAAGCCACACTTGACTGTAGCAAAGTAGAACTTGGTATCATCACCATATTAATGACATCAAATTCTAGATCTCTTAATGGCAACTCACAATAGTTTTATATAGCCATTAACTCAGAACTGGAGGCAAGACAGTATTTTGTAGCACCCCAATGGCAACCAATGATAATCTTTGCAGCAGCTCTCTGAAACTGATCCTATAGGTAGGCATGGAATCAGTGCAATTCTGTGCCTCACATGACAAATCCACAAACCTGGCTCAAGAGCAACAAGTACAATAATTAAGGATGCTCAGCATTACTTTCCCAGTTCAATAAGTGTTACATCCTGGATGCATCTGATAAGTCTCCCTCTTGTTTGCTTAAATCAGCAATAGAGACTATGTCGTTGGTCAGCAGGTCAGATTAAAAAAACCTAAAATCCACCCACATCCATCCCATGTTTGAGCCCTTAACTCAATCTGCAAGAACAGCATCTTAGAATGTTTTGGGGAGATGAACAAGCTTTGGCCCTAACAGAATAGTTTTTTCTAGCTCCCTTCTTGAGAATCCAGGAGAGATAGCAAGGTAGTTGATTTTGCTGCCTTCATCCCCACACAGTAGGCATGACACACTGGCAGATCTGTGCCATCTGTTGGTGATTCCTATCTTTACCTTGAATTACTAAAGAACAAATACCTCAAAATGTAGGGTTTCTAAGGAAATCACTTATGTACTTTGATTAAAATATATGCTTTAATTTGAATTAAACCAGTCTTTTAGTATATGAAGCTAGTAAAAAAATTAGAATAGAGGTTGCAGATTAGACAGGTAAGGATCATATTCACATTATTGCTTCCTTCAGATTGAGTTAACAGTTGCCATTTATTTTATTTTATTGTAACCAAGGCCAAACCATTCACACAGCAAAGCAAAACTAACTGACTTTTCTTTGTATTGGAAATAATACTTCAAACAAATCTTACTAAAAAGGCAGTAATATTCTCATTAGTGTCAGAAGAATGTGTATTTCTCTCTAAATTTGTTTTGAACAATGTGAACAGTCCAGGTTGTTTTTACTTATTCAGCAACTTATAAGTAATATTGATAAACAAGTTAATCATTGTATAAAATAAAAAATACATTCTTTTGGTTGGATTCAGAGGTCCTTCTCCATGAAGATAAGGGAGACCTGGAGTTATAGGAAGTGCCAACCCCCCCCCCCACCCCCAAACAAAAAATCCCAGCCACTTGTATGAAAAATCCATTTAGCATTGGATTTTGAAGCTCCACATATGTTATTCATGTGAGGCAAATCTACAAAATGTTATATTTTAATTGTTTTGAGACCTAAAAGGATATAGCTGCTTGATACACAAACAAGAACTCAGACATATGTACTTAATGTTCAAGCAATCACAAGGCTTTTTCAGACTAAACTAGTGATTGCTGCAGTACAAGATGGGATGAATTTGCAAGGCACAAAGCTATGTGAAAATCCTTCTCGTGTGTTCGTTTGTTACAGTACAGGATGTGGTGAATTTACAAGGTACATAGCTATGTGAAAATCCCTTTCCTTCATTCACATGGTTATTCCTACTGTTTTCCTGGACAGACTGAAAATTGTATTAATGATATTGTAAATCCTGTGACTAGCGGTATTTTGCTAGTTAGATTATGAAATTTTGTAAAAACAGGGTCATTTCTTCTAATGTAAGTGAACTTTTATGGTAGGAAAAATTGTAGTGAATTTATGAGCACATTGTTTTTCAAATTCATTCTGAAACATGCAATAATTCTAAGAGCAAAAGTAAATTTATAAACCCTCTTTATATGGAAAGATTTATCAAAAATGTGGAAAATTGGCACTGGAATAATTCACCCTTCTTTTGTTTTAAAATAAGCATGAATTTAATTAAATGTTACTGAGTAGATAGATAATACTCATCATATTCATTAGCTCCTTCCAGTCTTATTGGTCACAGCATGTTTTCAAAGGAGGCATAACTTTATATGGTTTTATCTGTAGTTTTATATATGATACATTGCTTTCTATTTGATTGTATATGTGGCATTGAATATTGCCATGTTGTAAGCCACTCTTAGTTCCCCTTGGGGTGAGAATGTGAGATATAAATATAGTAAATAAAATAAATAATAATAATAATAATAATAATTTTAGTATGAAAACCCCTGGTCTCATTCCTAGATATAAGTTGGAACCTTTAAATCAAGAAGTATTGTCTCATGGAGCAATTCAACCGAATAGTTTAGACACTACTGAATGTAAATGAAGCCTAAACAAAGGCCCACGCCTTTCTTTTATGTGGCAATTGTTTCCTGTGGGTGTGGCATGAATGTTCAAAATGTTCATCAGATGCTGGCTCTTTCAGCGATTTTCTTTTCAATCACATCGAAGCACTAAGTATTAAAACTGGAACATTCACTACTGAGATGTTTGAGATGACATGTGCTGACATCATTGGCTTCTTTCTGCATTTTGATTTTAGGCCTTTCCTAGTTTGGAATGCGAGCTACTTCTAATTAATTGTTCTACACACTTCAAATATTAATCACCTTCTTCCAAGCTTTTACTTGACATACAGAACTGATCAGCCACATATAGGAGCCATCTTACTTCAATGTGCTTTACTTTCTTTTATAAAATTGTTTAAGAGAGGTTTTTTGTACAAACCAGTTTATTTTGTGATTTATCATGTGAGATGCAACATTGAAATAATTTTCCACCACTGACTTTATATGAAATTAAGAATGGATCCTCATGAAGATCAACTGGTTGTGCAAAGATTTCAAGAGCCTAACAGCAATTCCAAGCATAACACCCATCATGCATATATGGGAAACCATTGTCATTGAAATTCTTAAACATTTTAAAATCAAAACAATACAAATTTGAAGAATGACATTGACTTTAACTCAGTGGTTCTCAACCTGTGGGTCCCCAGATGCTTCGACCTACAACTCCCAGAAATCTCATGCCAGTTTAACCAGCTGTTAGGATTTATTTAAGTTGAAGGTCAAAACCTCTGGGGACCCACAGGTTGAGAACCACTGCTTGCATTTACAGAATAAACCATTTGAAGACTGCTTCTTAAACATCTCAAATGTTGCAAAAGCAATGGAAATGAACTTTTTGGATTTAATTGTTGGGGGGGGGGGGAGAGTTGTATCTATTGCACCATGGATGGATGAAACACTATATATACTACAGTACAAGGCAACCTCATGTATAAGTCAAGAGCAGGTTTGGGGCCAAAATTATGAATTTTGATATGGCTGTGAATAAGCCAAGAGCCATTCTGCACAGAGGAGAAAGCACCAGCATAGCCATTGACACAATTTTCTCATCAAGGCATTCAAAAAGGCCAGAAGCGGTGACATATGGAGACAGTAGATGGTGGTGGTGCGTCCTCAGAGGAAACTATGTTTTTGCCTTTCACCAACTCTACTCAGAGAAGGGAATGGTTCATTTTTTGAAAAGAGTTGGTTGTATTGACCTCTGGATAAGTCAACACAGTTTTTGAGATTAGTGTTTTTGACTAAAATTTCTAGACTTATACATGAGTATATACAGTATGTTAAAATTACACATGCTGCTTAGAAGTTAAAAATTCACCCAATATTTGCTAGTTGAACTGGGAGTCCCATGCCTTAAGAGTATGTATTTGTGTGGCACCTGAGTAGATTTTAAGAACAATGTACTGTTTTATTGTTTAATATTGCTTTTAAGTTACAATGCAGATCATCCGGTAATTTCCTTAAAAGAGGGAGGTGGGGAATTGATCAGAATGATCCTTTAAGCCAAACCTTTCTTCCAGTATCCGGGTTCTTGGTGTTCTTTACTACAATGCACAGGCAAATATTTAGATAGCATTTGATTCCTGTTGAGAATTATGCCTATTTTCTTCAAAGAAAGTCTTGTAACTCAGCCAAATGCATGTTTGTTTCCAGATCCAAGGATAAGTTTTTTTGTGTCAAATATTGCAAAGTAGCCATTCATTAAATAGACAATTCAGAAGTTGCTGTACTATCTAACCATTTACTTCTTAAAAGTAGTTTATAAGTAGGAAGGAGTTTTCACAAAGCAAAGCAGGAATGCCTAGGAGTAAGTAGGGTCCGTGTGGATTAGATTGCATGAATAATTGGTTGTTACAGAACTGACACATTGCTCAGGCCGTGACTGAAACAAAATGTATTGTTTCAAGGCCAGACTGAAGACATTTTGTTCTCATATGGCACCAAATGATCCTAGCCACCTCCTGCACTGTTGCAATGAATTCTATGTTGCAATACAGACATGCTTTTTGGCACTTATGTATGGGTCCCTGTTTGTAACATACTATGCAGCAGATGCTTTGTAGCATAGTGTTATCAAATTGCTAAGTATTCTGTTGTAAGATGAGAAAATAATGTGGAATGGGTGTAATTTAATGTATGCCTCAGGACAGTGCACTGGATTAAATAAGTATTGCATAAATTCCCATTCTTCTTTTTATGGCATTGCATAACAAGATGGTGCAAAACATGTTAATTGTATTCTTATCCTTTTCAGGAATTCGAAAAGACCGCAGAGGAGGCCGTATGTTGAAACACAAACGTCAAAGAGAGGAAAATGATAGCAGGAATGCAGGGGCTTTAACAGAGGCAAGGAGCACGGCTCTCTGGCCAAGTCCCCTGATGATCAAACATAGCAAAAAGAACAGCCCAGCCTTGTCTCTGACTGCAGATCAGATGGTCAGTGCTTTGCTGGAAGCAGAGCCACCTGTCGTCTACTCAGAATATGACCCTAGCAGACCTTTCAATGAAGCTTCAGTGATGACACTGCTAACCAACCTCGCTGACAGAGAACTGGTGCACATGATCAACTGGGCAAAAAGAGTTCCAGGTAAGGACATGTTTGAAAGAGCGTGTTTGAACAGTTGTTTATAGGTTTACATATCCCAAGGCATACTGCTGATAAGGCAGTCAGGCAAATGTGAGTGGAATTCACATGGAGGCAAACATTATTTCTACTCTTCTGTTTTCTGCTCAGTGTCATGATTATATGTACTAGTATAAACTGGTTTTTCTGGTATAACTCTAGAGAGTATAAGCATGAAAAGTAGGCTGAATAATAATTAACATACTTGATTACTAACATAAAGCTGAAAAGTACCAAGTAGAATAGATAGGATAACTTGTGATGTTCTAAGTATTTATGGACATCAATTTCCATTAGCCAAATTTTGTATTCTGTATTTTATATTTTTGTATTTTGTCTGTTTGTTTGCTTTGTTCTGTTAGAAATGTAATATAACTGACTGGTTGCTGATGACTCGATAAATAAATAAATAAATAGTCTGATCAGTGATGTGACATGATGGGAGATGTAGTTCAGCAACATCTGGAAGACCCAGCTTCCTTAGTCATAGGTATAGAATACAGAGTATGACAGAGACACAGTATATTAACATAACATTGTTGTTACTATTTGCTGTCAAGTTGATTTCAGCTTATGGTGACCCCACAAATAAGAGACAGGTAGCTGGTTTGTCATCAGCTGCCCTGCTCAGGTCTTCAGGCTCAAAAATGTGGCTTCCTTGGTTAAGTTTATCTACCTTTTATATGGTCTTCCCCTTTCTCTGTTCTGTTCCACTTTGCTGAGCATTATAATGTTTTTCAATAACTCGCGGGGGTGAGAAAGGCCCTTTCTGATCTTTTGACTGCAGTCTCCATTTTGATTGATGAATGGGTTTAGGTATAAAAGTACTTAACTATTAAATGTTTGACATTTTATAAATAATCTGTATTCATCAATATTTTTGTTTTCTTAATGTTTAAACAAAACCCACTTTTGTCCTTTTTTCACAGAATAAAAAGTTGCATAACATACTACCTTTTTTTAAATCTCCAGGTCAAACAAAAATAACAATATACCTAATCAACAAAAATCCTTCAGTTTTGTTGGTGTCTATAAGATTGTTCCTAAATTAATATTACATGCTTATTACATGGAAAGCATGCACGGTAATTAATTTATTGCTGCCTGGAATAGAAACTTTGCATAGTAACTAATTTTTAAAAAAGCATCTATCTTGATTTCAAAAGACAAGGTGAAAATGACTATATGTACATGCATTTTAAATACAATGTAACTCTGAAATATTTTAAGATTGTATTTCCTGTGGTTTTTAGTTTGAATGTGTATTTATATGTATATATTTAACTGAACTTTTAATACCCAAAATATTTAATTCTATTTTCATGCTTATATATTTGCAGATTTTAAATTGTACTGAAATGCTTTTAATATAAGCCGCTTTGAGTCTCCTTGTGGAGAGAAAAAGCAGAGCATAAATAAACATCATCATTATCATTGACAGAAAACTGAAATCAATTAATTTCAGGAATTGTGTCTTCTAGAAACTGAACTATGAAGGCTAAGATAAATGGGTTGGTTAGAGAATACGTATGAGAAAATTGTCCAGTGTTAGAGCTTTACTAATGTCAATACACTCTTACTTTTGAGCAGATATTGATTGCAGTGTATTTATAATATTAAATAAGACTATGTCCAAATTCTTTGCTTACAGAATTTGGTCCAATTCCCATATGGCAAAAGTGGGGAGGAGTTACATATGCCGGACCCTTCAGATACAGAGGCCAGCAAAGAAACAAGCAAGGGCATAGTAGGGTTGTGATGGAGAGATGGGCTTTATAAACTAATCAGTACATCACTTCATTGTTGGATTTCAAAATTCAATCAGTTCTCCAAAGTTTAGTCCAATTTAGGTGGCCACAACTGGACCAAGTAGGATTTTCTCCCCCTTTCCCATTTTTTAACCCTACCTACCCTACCCTACACAATGGAATCATGGGGGTTGTTTGGTGAGGCGGCAGCACTTCGTGGTAGAAAAGACTATATACCTAGCAAAACTACTGCAGCTGTCATGTTGGTTTCATATAATGCTGTCTAAATAACTGGCTACTTGGCAAGTATTATGGAGAGAAAGAAAGAGTAGATTTCAGTGCCATCATTTTATTGAAGTTCTCTACAATCTTTCTCTTTGGTCATGAGATCCATGGGATGAGCAAGGAGACTGTAGTGATATATGGTAAGCTCTCACTTTAAGGATGGAATGTTATGGATCTCAGGAGGAACTACCTCCTTCAAGGCCACCTGATCTATAATTCAATATATCTGGATTCCTCCAGGAGCTTGGATGCTATGCCTAGGAGTCACCTAGGCAGATGTCTGGGGATAACCCCTGCCTTAGCAGAGCCACTTTGCCATTCACAAGGTACATGATTTAAATAGTTTAAATTAAGTGACCAGATTCAACCCTATTCTTGTGCTTGATATCATTATTTCCTCTCTTGTGGTTAAATGTTCATGTTCCATAACTAACAATTAATAGTATAGATCTTAAGAAAAGTAACTTTGAGAATTTTCTTTTTATTAAAAAAGCAAAGTGAGTTAACTTGGCATTGCTCTTAAACGGCCTGGCTAATGATTTACTTGCAGTACAGTAGCTGTATAGTTTAATGATCCCAAAACAGTATATTGGGCATGCAAGCTTTGAAGTTTCAAGATGATTCACTGTACTGGAGTTATTTTATAGTTTCCTGGAGTGAAAAGATAAATAGCCAGTTTAATTTTTGGTTTGATGCTGCCAAACTAGATGGCTTTCTTTTTTATTTGCTAAAGGCATTGTTTTCCAAACTAAGTTTATAATCTAAACTGTTTGTTAAATTGAGAACACTGTGTGGCCCTCAGTAACTATAGATTCTTATCACATACAGGACATCAACATCCTTTTTTTTAAAAAAAAAATGCACATTTGAAATGAGAGTAAGCCAACACAGTGTTGTTTCCCTCCCATAGTATTTATGCTTTTCTCATTGTATTTCATGTAGAAATGGAAGGCATCTAGCAGGAGTACTTTGATTGTGTAGTCCTGCATGGCAGGGGGTTGAGATGGATTTCCCTTGCGGTCTCTTCCAACTCTATGATTCTGTGATATAACAATCAATGCTCTTCAGTCTGAATCATCTTCTGTACAAACTATTACGTGTCTTTGGTTCTTTTGTAGATTTTATTCAGCAACATAATCTGAACTACATGATTGTGGGTGCGGTGTCTATTGTGGGTGCTATGATTAGCCACAAGGCAATGGGATATGTCTTTCCCTTCAAAGGGGTGATTTATTTGTGGGCATCATCCCACCACTATTCACACAAATAGTACAACCCCTCACTGCAACAACCTTCCAGAATGTGTGTCCAAGACTCTGCTGATAAAACATTGATGAGAGTAGTTTACTTACTTGCATGCAATTACAAGCATATTTGTTTGCAAATTTTAAAGTTTATGAAATCCAAGTCAGCATCTATTTTACATTTTCAGATTTTTAATGGAGCTTTATACCTTTTCTCCAACTCTCAAAAAATGGACACACAATTCAATTGGAGGCATGTAGCACTATCTAAAATATCTTAGATAAGTACTATCTAAGTATCTATCTTATATTACTGGTATTTCATGTGGATCACCAGATGTTGTTGGTCTACAGTTCTAAACCTTCCTCACCATTAACTATGCTGGCTAGAACTTTTAGGAGTTGCATGATTGTTATTTGTGTATCAATCTTTTTGTGCAGATTTCTTTGTCCAGAAAATGCTGTTGTCTGTACAAAATTTTTTGAATGTTGTGCCAAATGAGTCTTGAACTGTGAAGATTCTCATCAGACCAAGATTGTCTTTCTCAAGATATTCTGACACTTAAGAAACATATTTTCCAACCTTTTCCCAAATATGGTTAAATATTCTTCACACTCTTAGAACTGTGCATATGTGTAGAAACATTCCTTTTGTCTTGTCTGCTAGTCATGAAAACAAAAAGCCAAGACCTTTCTTTTAGACATTTAGGGAGAAACAGAGTGATGTGGCTGCCTTGAACTCACTGAAGGAAAGTCAGGATGTAAATGTAACAGGCATTCGTAATCATATGATGACATCAATTTGGTGAGGTTATAACATCTAAAACGTGCAAACACATGACATTAAAACATAAGGCATGGCTCTTTTCCTGTCTGGTAATCTTGTTTTTCGATTAAGAGGAGGGGATGGTGTGAGGGAAGCTTGGAAGGTTGGGAAGGTGGAAGAGAGATGAATTGGAAGTAAATGAAAGTTTGTGATCAATGTCCATTCATATTGCTATGCATGTGAAGGTGGACCTGCTGATGTAGTTAAGAAGACCAAAGAGAAACATTGGGGCACAGGGAGAAATTTAGTACTTGAAAAGTATATGTGTGTGTACAAATGAAAGGAATTTACTTCTGGCTTAGATAAATGATGAGAGTGCAAGCACAATTACTACTTTCTGTCAACATCCTCCAGTTACTGAGGTTATAAAACATTGCGTTAATTACTAACTTGCAGAAGTAAGCTGTTTCACCTCACATCAATATAAATTACCAGATAAATAGGCAGCACAGTCAAAGGAGCAAACTCTTTTCTACCATTCATATTGTGTCTCGAAAGTTGGAGCAAAACCCTGAAACTATTTCCTGCTAGAGATAGATGTCACGATCTTCGAGGGCATGTTACTGGCTCTTATCCATCTAATATAAAAGGACTCCCTCCCAAATTTCATTAGATTGTTCTCCACATATTTTATGGTGACACCCAGTTTTCCCCCTTTATTATCTCCCAGAGGAATTGTGGTCCAGGGAAGAGTTTTCCAAATGATGTGTCACAACAAATTAGTGTGTCAGCTGTAGTGTGTAAATGTGTTGCGTGAACGTAATAAGAAACATATTGGTCTATGTGAAATAAGCAATAAACCATATATTTTTACAAATATAAATGAAACGTTTTCATAAATGATGTTATTACAATTTATGT